GCGGGGGAAACAACACCAGATCACCAGCTAGTCGCAGAGCAAACCAGCAGCGCAAATCAGAGTCATCATTTAGTCATTATTAACCAACTGTTGTATCACACTGTGTGGAGGAAGAACATCACAGTGGCACAGCAACACCAGCTCATCTATTATGGACTTGTCTGTAGTAAAGCAACATTTTTTCTGGATGATTGTTATGATTGTTGTGAGCTGTGAAATGTATCCAGATTCATCCAGATGAATCCAAGTCTCCAGCAACCTCCATGATGCTGCAGAGTCCAGTCAGTTTCTCAACAAGCTGGTTGTTTGTGACCTCTTATTTGTGCTAGATTACATTTGCCATTATTGAAACGTAAACTTTTTATTCTCACCGTCACTTTGTTCTGCTAAGTTAATCAGTAAATACTATAAGCCTTGAAACACTGCGCCATACTTCACACTAGCAGTACTAGCAGTAACTTGAATCTGTCATCTAAACCTCCTGAGCGGTATTTACGATTTAAACACATTACATCACTCAAGCAATGATTCAAATTCCCATGAGGAGTAATGTTTCACAAGTGTGATTGTGTGGCTGCTCTGAAGAGTGAACGCAAGAACGCAAAGAAACAACAAGGGGAGCGAAACTTGCTCCTTTCAATCGCTCATGAAAGAACAAGAGAAATGAAGCAGGAACAACCTGAAGGTTAAGTCAGGCTCGATTAACCTTCAGGTCATCAAAGATCGTCGAAGGCTAATTCACAGTCTCTTCCAAACAACTCATGACAAAAACAGAGATACTTTGGTGGTTAATCATCCACTACTAACTAGACTGTCTGAATCCTGATTAACAAGTTTAAAAAAAACCCGAGTCATAACATCTTTAATACTTTAATACTATAATTACTGTTTTTGAATTATAACACTAATACCTCGGGATTTCCTAATCATCACATTCTGTCCTGTTAAGTGAAGTGAAGCACCGTGCTTTGTGTGTACTACAGAAAAATGGTGAATAATAGTGAAAGAATCATGAAGCAATGAGTAACGACTTGTTGTGACACTTCATTTACACAAAAAGAGTATAAAAATAAAGCTTATTTGCTGATTATTATCATCTATGAAGGAAGTGTGGATTTAGATCAATCTACAGATTGATTGTGCAATACATCCTGGAAACTCCTCAGTGAATAACGATGAATAATGTTTGTTGGTGCCAGCTGTGATTGGTTGTCTAGACTTCCACAATACCTTCATGGCCTTGTCGCTGTTTGCAAAGTTGTTGATGATGGAGAGAGATTCCTGGAAGCGTGAACTGCCGGTCAGCGCCACGTCAGAAATCAGCTGGCTTACTGCAATGATGATCTACTCAGGAAAGAAAAGCAGGGGAAAGGTGGAGGGAGTGGGGCAGTGGGCACGGAGAAAGATGAAAATGAAAGGAGGAAATGCACACACGATCCAGTAAATAGTGTCTGTACTAATCACTGCAAGATAACAGAAAGAGAAACTCAGCAGACCGTCTGTAATTAAACATGCTTTACGTTCTTCTCCTCCCTTACTGCACATGAATTGCTCAGAGGAGAAAAGAAAAGCGAATGCTGAACGTCAACAGTTGTCAACATTAACACTTTACCTGCAGGTGTGTGCGTAGGAAGGTTTTCCTCTTGGTGTACTCGTAGTTGTTCCTCATGAGCAGGTAGAGCAGGGCTGACGCCTCGGCCCGCAGAGAGGCCAGCTTGGAGACGCAGCACTTGAGCACCTCGCAGCACAGAGCCTCGCACAGCGTCACGCGACCCTTGAACAGCACCGAAGGGAACTGGCGGGACAACGGGTTAGTGTATTAAAGGCAGATTCAGGAGAGGGCTGGAGTTAGAAAATAGAGTGAGTGTGTAAGAAAGACAGCAGGAAAACGATAAATCACTGATTAACTCTATGTCACATTCCTGCTTTTCTCAGGATTTCTCTTGATACACAGTGAAGATATCATATTAAAACTTTGTGTTATGGTAGATACTAATAATAAGTCCATTTAGATTTGGCTGAAAATAAAGTTAAAACCACAAAAAATAACTAAAAAATAAAAAACTAAAAACTTTATATTACCCACAATTTTTTATGGATCATCTTCAAACTTCACAAAAACATAGTAGACCTCGTGGGCTTGAGTACCTAGGCTGGCTAAGCATTTGACCTTCATTGTTAGCACTCAAGGTCAAAGTTCACCTTAAAAAAATTTTCAAGAAACCATATTGAGTATCATATATCACATGAAACTGCATGGATTCAATCAAAACATTGTAAAATGTCAAATTTATTCAGGTTTTGGGGGGAAATCAAAGGTCTAGAAAACATCTGCATCATCAACCTATGTGTCAAATATGATACACTTGGTGTTAAAAGGTCATAGCAAAGTTTTTCTTGGGTTTTTTTTTGGTGATTTTATTGTCAGGAAGTAACAAAAAACGGACCTGTTAACATTTTAGTTCTTCTTTCACATTGTAAATACAAGCAATGACCCTGATTAGTTTAAACTAGTACATATAAATTGAACTGTCCATCCATCCAGGCCAGCCAAGCGATATAATCTCTCCAGCGTGTCTTGGGTCCTCCTCCCGATATAAATTGAACTGTTTTAAGTTATTTAAATGTTTTGCCGATACACTGTAGTTGTTTGTGTAATTATTAAATTTCATAATTCAGAATTTCATAATAAGATAAACTAAAGGACACTACTGCAATGCCTGGCACAAAGCCTCATAAGCCTTGTGTACCAGCTAAGTCATGAATCGTGTTTAGACTTGAATTAGTCTCGATGCGCTATGTTGTGTTTGTGTGGCCAAGAACAGCAAAGGTTTGGCTGTTAACAGGAAAACACGGCACGCTGCTGCCAGGATTAACGATTGCCGGTAAGAGTTTTAATCTAGTGCAGTTACAAATATAAACCTGTGACGAAATAAATAATAAAATGTCACAAAAAATGATATTCTGTCACTAACTAATGAGGGGGAAATCTGAACTGTTCATCTGCATTTTTTTATTTACTGCAAAAGAATTCTGATGTTAAAGTCCTCTCTGCCCATATCACCTTTTTATCATTAACCGGTTCTCCAGTTTTCAGGCAGTCACAATACTCACAATAGCAAAAATCCACTTCTGGAAGTGGAAAGTTCTGTTTGTCTGCTAACAAAGGCCTAATTTCTACCAAACGCAGCATAAATGAGTGGATCAAAAACAAGCAGACCGGATGAGAGCGCAGCTAATCCGCTGATTAAAATCAGTCGGCACAAGTTTTACGCATGTGTTTCACATGGAAACCGATCAAAGAAAGCCAGCTGAAGGAGAATCAATATGTTTCTGATACGAAGACGAGCTCTTCTGTTAGAAGGTGTGGTGCGTGGATAAATGTGTGCGACACCTGGATGAATCTGACCGCTCAGTTGGAGCACAAGATTGAGCCAGAGAAGGCTCCATTATTAAAAACTACTCCAACATATATAAACACGATGTGCAGAAGAAAGCAAAAGATCACTGAGTTTGTAAAGACATTTCAGTTTGGAGTGTGAAAGATCCAATACTGAAAGAAGAAAGAAGAAAAACACGTGACTGTGTGTCGACTGCTGAGAACAGACAAACAGACTGTTCTCAGCTTGTCTGTGTGGTGGATTTTTAGCCACACAAAACTGCGGCTAAAACCCAGAGACACCGCTCTGCCTATGTGAAAACCATGTTTGCATAATTGCCTCTTGCAATCTATGCTAAGTTCACATCAATTAAGCAAGTAAGTTATTGTTAAAAGAGAAACGAAGGGGCTCACAGCTTTGGGGGTCATCGTTCATAGTGTTAACATCTTCATCCAGCATTTAAAATAAATGAATGACGACCGCCAAAGCAAATAAAGAAAAGCTTTTGTTTTTTGTGTTGTGAAATTAAACACAGAACTACAACCACTCAAACCTCCGCCAAGAGAGCTGACAACCTGGGCTGTGTGGACTTTTAAGAGAATAGTATTGGATTTTGTACATATTCATTTTGTTTTCTTTGTTCTTTTTAAACAGTAAACAGCAGAAAAAACATCAAATGTAATGTGATACTTTAAATGTTTACAAAGTACTTTCCATATGTTGACACAATTTCTGACCTTGAAGACCTTTTAAAGGCTTGTTAAGCTGACCTCACTCCACACTCCTACAAAGTTTTATTTGAATTCAGTTAAATTAAGCTTTTCGAGTGTTTGCAGACAGAATGAAACACACACACACAAACACAACCTAATAAGTCTGGCTGCAAAAATAACTGTATCAGCACTGCTCAGTTACTAAATAGACATCATGTCTCTTTAGTAAATGTCTACAGTAGCATTTAAACACCTGGTGATGGTTTTTGCTACTTTTATTCTGTGTAAACACTAAAACTCTACAAAACAAACTAGTGTAAACAGACCACTTTGTAGAAATAAAGACAGAATAGATTAAAGTACAAGTTGCAACTTTCAGCCGCACATTCACACACTCCACCATTTGTGTTAATGAAGGACAACGTCTGCACTGTGGCTCGCTCGTGTGCCTTTAACAGTTTGTGCGCAAAATCTGTTGACACAGGAAACCTGGACTACAAAGAAATCAGAGAGCAGTTCATTGGTTTTAGAATCTCACAAACCGCATTGTTTGACATTTTAATGAACCTGTACACACTGTAATCAATTTGCAGACAACTATTCTCCTGATCCAAGCACGAGTGTTTAAAGTGTTCATGTTCGGATAGTTGCTATTTGCAGAGGCTAACCTTTCATGCTTGTACTATAACAGGAGGAAGCACGCCAGAACAAAGCCTTCTGCCGCTGCTGTTGTCTGATTCATCACTTAATTAACCCACACGATACTGACACTGCTGATATGATAACTCTAGGAAGAGGGCTGTTCTCTCCCTTGGGACCTACCTTTATTACCTCAGCAGCTTTTGACTGAGTTGTGCTGAAGCTCATTTCTATGCGATATAACAGTGAGAAATACTAAATTAGATACTAGGGCTGCCACGATTAGTCGACTATCAAAATCGTCGACGTGTCATTTGAAGCTTTGTAAGACCCCAAAAGACGCAGGAATAAGTAGTAGGATTTAAGAGTGTAATAACGGACTGAAACAGAAGATGGAAGCACTGCACGTACAAGGAT